AATTAATTTAATTTTAAAAATTAAATTAAATTTCTGGTTGTGTCGCCCCTTGTTATATAGCCAGCAGCTTTTGGGGACTACAGGAGGGCTGGGGAGATCGTCATGCAGGCTGCAGATGAAGCCCACCCAGCTCTACATTTGTGGCCCTTTGACCCTGGATAACATTTCTAGGCTGTAAACTAGAGATTATAATTCTCACCTCATAGGCTAGTGGAGAATCAGATGAGATATTAAATGTGTGGAAACTACTCTACAGAGCAGAGGATTGGTCAATGGTAGGCAAGGTTCTTATTAGAACCAGTGGTCGTGATCACTAGCAAAAGATATTCCATTGCACATTGTGTCCTGCAGGGCTCTGTGTTAGGTGATGGGAGGATTTGGGAAAAGCTATCAAGTATGGTTCCTGGGATGAAGCAGTTTGTTCATAATGTAGGCAGAGAAATCTTAGGTAAAAGATAACTGACAAAACAGTGTAATCCACGGGTAACAAATGATAGAGAAAAAATCATTCAGTTTTGTGGGATGCTCAGGAGGTTTTCCTAAGGAAACTGGACATTGAAAATAGGTAGAGAGTAGATGGACAGGTGGGTCTTTTATTCCTTTCCTCCCTTTTCGTCTCCCTGCTGTCTCCAGCCCTCCGTACAAGTCTGTAGATAGCACTGACATTACCAGTAGGAAAGATGCGAGNTCTCCAGCCCTCCGTACAAGTCTGTAGATAGCACTGACATTACCAGTAGGAAAGATGCGAGAATGGGGCCCTTGATATTCACCAGCTGTGCAGCCAGGGGGACGTAACCATCCTGCATCCGATTCTTTATCTCTGTAATGACGTAAGAATAGTCCAGAAGGTTCTTGCTTTCTGAATCTCGCAGTTACAAGATCACACTGGGAAAGAAATATTATGACACAGCAATACTTATTTATCTGGTATTGATTACTTATCCGATAAGTCCCTACTCAAACATGCCTCTGTGTTGAAACCTAGGATTGGCTCCGTGCCGTTGCATTAGCTTGTGTGACTGTCCCATGTGGTACACGGTTGATAATACGAAGCAAATAAAATGCGAACCCATTGCAAAGTGAATTTCAAGCCTTGCAAAAGATGCAGGATTCTCTGAAGTCTGTGGTTTCAGAGGCTTGCCCCAAACACTTTCAGACCTGTCGGGAAAGGTGTGCATACGTGTGCGTGAAGTCCTCGCGGACTCCTCCCGGGCCCCAGACTCTGCACGTGTTCATTTACTCTTTGCTGCAGTCTGAAGGTGTAGGTGCTGTTGCAATTCCCAGGACAGGCAAGGGGGCCGGTGCCTAGTGGGCCCACACCGAGCAGCGTGGCCGGGGAGTGCATGCACCTTGTCGCTGTGCTGTGCAGCCTCCACTGAGGTCAGCCGACGATTCACAAGTGACAGGAAGCCAAGGAGAACAGGCACCTTGGCAGAGAGAGATTTCCAGAGGAGAAAGGATGTGCTTACGAAAAAGTGACAAAAGCTGCCAGCTGAGTAGTGTGGTAGTGGTTGGGACCAGGGGCTCTGGGGTCAGACTGCTGAGCTGCTCTGCTGCTTCGCTGTGTGACCTTGGACAGATTACTCAACATCTCTGTGCCTCTGCTTCCATGTGTGTAAAGTGAAGATAACAGTATCGAGCCATAGCATGTAGGTGTGGGTTTTATGATTAAAATACCTATAACCTCACCTGACAAATACAGGATTCTTAGTAAATGTTAATTATTACTAAAACTAACACTTGAAAAAATGGCTGTCTTTATGATCATTCCAGACGTCAGACATGACGAATGTCCCATTTTATGCCATTCTCCAGTTTTGTCTGGATAATTTATTCTAAAAAACCTCACCTGCTTGTCTTGTTTTGTTGCTGTTTTCTTTTTTTTCTTTTTCTTTTTCTTTTTTTTTTTCCTTTTTGTCTTTTTTCGTGGCCGGCAATGGATCGCAACCCTCAGTGTTGCCCCTGTACCGGACCGGGGACCGGCAACGGGATCGCAACCCTCGGTGTTGCTCCCACACCTCGCTCAGCCAG